TTTAGGCTTTCAGGGTTTAGGGGCTTTAGGCTTTCACGATGGCTCTTTAAGGTAAGGTTTTAGGCTTTAAAGTTTAGGGTTTAGGGTTTACCTGGACCCCAAAGAACCTACCTTTTTAAGGACTTTTATGAGGAAATCATGAAAAGGAACCCGAAAAAGGTAGGTTCTTCGGGGTCCGCGTAGGGCTTAGGTTTCGGGCTCTTGTCTAGAGGTGTCGGAGAGGCTAGGTCTAGAGGCCTCCTCAACAGTTCAAGCAAGGTGGCGCTGGGTTCTACATTGTTCGGTGGGTAGTTCTCTAAACTAGGGCCCTTTTTGGGGTTCATTAAAGATGTCTATAGGGGCTTCCATAAGGGTACTAGAAGGGTGTTATGTGGGTAGCTCTCGAAATTAGGGTCCCTGTTTTGGGGTCCCAAATACTGTATAGTACCACACCCTTATTAAAACGGACCCCCAGAATGGACCCTAATTTAGAGAACTACCCATGTGGGTTCGGGGGGGTTACGTTTGACTTCACGGCCAGGACCCTCGACTTTGTTGAGGGTCTTTGACGAAAGCGCTTCTTGAACCCCTAAAACCACTCTGACCCTAAACCCTAGACCCTAAACCCCATACCATTCATGTAACTCTCGCGGGAACCCTTACAAACCCGGGAAGAGCGACCACTGAGAACCCTGAACCCCAAGACCCTCTAAAATCGAATCCCTATACCCTAACCCGAAGACTCCAAGTCTACAAATCGTACCCACCTTGGGGTCTAAACCTATAAATAGTACCTACTTTGGGCTATTTGGAGTCTTAGGGTAAGGGTCCAAAGGACCCAATAATGAGGTACTTTGGTTGCTAATATTTGGGAGAGTATATGATTATTAGGTACTTGGACCTTAGGGATACACCCTACACCGCGATCCTTAAATCATCGTATTCCCAAAACTTTTTAAACCCTGAGCACTACCTCACTACCGTTGCGTCTGCCAGGGGACCAGTGGGGTCCTCTTTTTTTGAGCAACCTTCCAACACTTCCAACAAAACTGTATAAACCCAGTGATTAATGTGGTTCTCTTTTCTAGCTATTCCCGAAACCCTCCAACCCTAAACCCTGAACCCCAAATCCTAACCCCCTAAACCCTAAACTCCTAAACCCCTACACCCCCAAACCCCTAAAATCCTCAACCCCAAGCCCTAAATTCTTCTGCCCAAGGAACCAATGGGGCTCTCTTTCCTCGCTTCCTCCAGCGTCCGCGTGGTTCGCGCGAAGACCGGCGAGGCATCGCCCCCTATGGAGATGAGAAGCCTGAGAATGCCCTAAGCCCTAAACCCTAAAGCCTAAACCCTAAACCCTAAACCGAATTCCTAAACCCTAAACCGAAACCCTAAACCCTAAACCTTTGGGAAATTTCAAGGAGTAATTTAGGGAGTCCTAGGGAATTCCCCGGCTTGTGTTTAAAGGGCTCCTCTTATGGGTTCCTCGGATACTTACGGCGTTTTCTGGCAGGTTCCTATGAGCCCCAGGGATTCTTGACCCTTTGCTTTAAAGGTTTAGGGTGTAGGGTTTAGGGTTTGGGGTGTAGGGTTTAGGGTGTAGAGTTTAGGGTTTAGGGTTGAGGGTGTAGGGCTTTGGGTTTGGGGTTTAGGGTTTGGTTTAAAGGTCCCTTCTATAAGGGTTCCTGAGCAGGGCTTACCTCTAGTCTCCACTGTAGTTCTTTTAGCGATCAACCCAAGCTACATTTGTCTAGGATCCTAGCCATGAAAGCTGGGCAGCCAAAAGACAAAAGAAGGAACTCTAATGGAGACGATCAGTAAGGTTCATTTGTGGGATAAGGGTGTGATGGGGGGGGTGGGGCTTGATGGGGTAAACCCTAAACCCCAAACCCCCAAACCCGTAAACCCTAAACCCCAAACCCCTAGACCCTTCACTTTCCCGAACCCTAAACCCTCTTAGAGCTAAGGAATTGCAAGGGCTCCTAGGGTTTCATGAAAGATTCCGCATGCAGGGTTCCATTATGGACGACCTGAATCTGCTTGTCGAGTATTTCCCTAAGACTCCGCCCTATTTATAGATTTTAGACACCAAAGTGGGTACCATTTGTATACTTGGAGTCTTAGGGTTTGTGGAAACTTTAATTTAAGGTCAACGCATACTCATATGTGGATACATGGACCCTTAGGGTAGGGTAAGGTTTCCTGTTGCGGTTCTTAATCGTGGTTTCGGGCGCGTGGGGCTTCTCAAACATGAAAAATTCGGGGCTGGCTTTTAGGGGGGATCCTCTGAAGCTGAGGGTTCTTGTAGTCTTAAGGGGTTGATTATTTATGGTTTCGGGGTTTCGGAGTTTTCCCTAAACCCTAAACCCTATAAACCCTAGGCCTAGACCCCAAACCCTAAAGCCCTAAACCCTGTACTTGGGGGGCTTAGGGTTTTAAGGGCCTATCCCCAGAGTTCCTTGCAGGGCTTCCGATACGGATTGGTCGCGTAGCCAGCCCCTTAGGGTTTAGGGTTTATAGGGCCCAAGGGCTTAAGGTTTAGGTTTGGGTTTAGGGTTTAGGGCCCAAGGGCTTAAGGTTTAGGGCCCAAGGGCTTAAGGTTTAGGGCCCAGGGGCTTAAGGTTTAGGTTAGAGTTTAGGGTTTAGGGCCCAAGGGCTTAAGGTTTAGGGTCTCGTAGAGTTTCTCACTTGTCGGGTGGGTCGGGCCAAGTCAAGGTTAAACTTTTACCAATGTTTAACTGGAGATATTTGCACTACCCCGGGATAGCCGACTTATACAAGAAGGTAGCCCCAAAAGATGATCCCGGGTGTATGTTGGAAACACAAGCAGGTCTTTTTGCTCGCCCAGCTTTTGCGACATCGACGGTCGGCGAGCAACGACCTAGGCGGTTTAGGGTTTTTGGGTATCGGGTTCAGGGTATAGGTAATTAGGGATTAGAACAGATGATTTCAGAATGTTCCGTAGGCTCGTAATTAAAATAAAAGTACCTGAGATCATGCACAACATCAGGGCGGACTGAGCATGCACCCGTGCGTACGAAGCTATGCTCGATAGGCATGTCTGAGTCCTGGACATGGCCATGCAGAGAGTTCGCCTGCCACAACAATCAACCGCCGGCTCACCACAATCAACGTTTAGTGCACAAGCGTCTGTGCAAGAATAGCCCGGGCTTTTTCAAACACTTCGCAATGTCAAAACCTTCGCGTGCGACGCACCATCGGCTGGAACTCCCGAAGCTACCTGGAGCAGCTCTAGATGCATGCAAGTTTTAGTTGAAGGTATTCTCAAAAAGGAAACGAAATTGCAAACCAAGCGGCTGGGACCAGATGTCCAAGGCCACTCCCAAAAGGATTTTGTAGACGGTCTTCGGAGGAGTGCTCGAAATGATATTCAAGGGCTTGCTAGCGAGGCACATGTTGATATCGTCATCAGACTCGTAGCCGAGAAGTCGCAGATATTCATGGCTCCCAAGATAGTAGCTGCGGCCCTTCCTGGACATGATGTGTTCGCCTCAGATGATTCAACCAGTTCTTCTGTAGCACCCCTCGCAAAAATTTTTATGCTCAAACATGTTGATTGGGCTGATGTGAACGCCAAATCAATGCCAAGTCACCTTGAGCAGTGCATCTCGGCGGGTGGCGCGATAACTTAAGCTGCTTCGCCCGAGCATTCACATACCACGATGAGTCTTTCGTGGCCTCCTGCTTCAACATGTCCACAGCTTCTCTGATGCGCTTGCGGCCGGCACTGGCATCATCGGAGTCGCCATTCGGAGCCACAATCTTTTCCATTGTGGAGCGCGGGCTCTGAGCATCAGGCATGTATGCAGGCGGCATCAGAATCTCAAACTTGGTATTGTTGGAGTCAACGATGTTCTTCAAGCCCACATCCTTTTGGGATAGAAAAAGCAACCAACTCGACTCGGAGTATGCTGTGCCCATCTTCTCCCAGCGCAGCTCGCGCATTTCCACCTGCCATCCAGCCTGCTTGTAATCGGCAATCAAATCCAAGTCCGGCTTGGAACGCAACACAAAGGCCATGACACTGACACCCTTCTTGGACCTCTCGATATTCAGAAGGGTTTGCAAAGCCTCGTTGCTATCAAGAGCAGCTGCCAGGACAGCATTGGATGTTTGCAAAGGAAATCCCTGCATCGCATCATCACAAATACTGACGCCTAAGTCAAAGGAGCCACCGTACCGCACTCGTGGAACGGACTTCCAATCTTGCTGGGGCAGGAGAACAGTATGAAGAAGCTTGATGCGACCCTGCTCTACAAGCTTGCATGCATTCAGGCCGAAGCCGCACCACACAACTTCAGCCATGAAAGACAAAGGTCAAGGGCCACGTCGGGCTTCGAAGCAAAAGCTCTTGAACCAAGCGCGATATGAGACCAGTCTGATTCAATGCTTCACGCACCAACCCCACAACGCAGTGAATTGAAGCATTAGCGACAGCAGCGCCGCCGAATGGATTTTGCACTGCGCCTGATCAAAGCGGCTTGGCGTTGTCACGCCAACATGGCCATTGCTACAAAACTGGCTGCTGCCATCACTTGCACAGGCCTAGATGGGCTAGCAAAGGCGACATAACCTTGCAGAGTCCAGCAAGGCTCATAGCATTGCCCGACATTTCATAAAGTTCAGCCTCAGTCACCAGATCAAGCTTCAAGTCCGGCCCGTAGCCCAAGATCGCAAGGTGACGCTCAGGCTTGATGTAGCTGAACGTCTTCAGATCATACAATCGTGTTGACGTTGCAAGTGTCTTGACCACACCGTGTAGCACGACTTGCCCCCGATGAGTGACCTGAGTGATGTCGGCGTACTTCGTGTCACCCGTATCTTGCGCAGCGGCGATGATCATGCTGTAGACGTCCAGGCTGCCAGCTTGAGCGGCCGTCATGTTGTTGTTCTCTGGTCTCCTGCTTGGACGCTTGCCCATATCTGGCGGCACCGTGTCCTCTGGCAGCCGCTTTGCATCGAGTGCTTTCTGCAAACCCTCCGAAAAGTGCTTATGATAAGCAGCATCCTTGGCCCATTGCCGACCCGGATCCTCCTTGGATTTGGTAGCAGCTGCCGGTCTCACATTCGGAGCTTTCGGCACAAGCAGGTGGTCCATATGGTGGCGCGGCTTCGCCACACACACACGTTCTCCAAGTGCACTGCAAGTGCAGCCCAGGATGCCGCGTTGAAGTCGTCGCATCGGGACCCCACAATCCACACTCGCGGACGCCTTTCTGGGAGAGGAGCCGACGTGGCGCTCAGATCGGCAACTGTATACATCGGCAAATGCTTCTTCATGTAGCTCATGTAGTGCTCAAGTGGACTCAGGGGCTTAGGAGCAGCTCCATCATTGCCGCCGGAACTCGCCGCAGCCGCAGTCGCACTCGGAGTTGAAGCCTTTGGCGCCATCCTGGGAAAAATCGCGAAATGTCACAACCGTACACATACATACATATACATACCTATTTATTTACATTTTTGTATCAGCAAGGTTTATTTCACAAACCCAAATCCCACCTGCATCCTTCGACATTCTCCAGGATGAAGAACTCTGGACGACAGTGTCTGATTGAAGCGATGGATAACTCAAACGTTTGTAACGATTGAGAATCATCTCCAAGCGGGTCCGCAGTGGCATCCCAGCGATTCGCGCGCAAAGCCGAATTGGCTTTGCACACGAAGCCGCCAATCCACACACACGGCTGCTGCTGCACAACGCATTTCCGACCGTGTCTCACGCAGAAACTCCCTGCCTTTGCCAGCGCCTTGCCAGTGCCTGCAGCATCTGCAAACAAGTGCATAGGATCATGATTGAGCAGATTGAGCACGTTCGGTCCAGCTGCACACTCTGCCCCATAGATCTGCCTCGCTGGCAGCTTAAGGTCCATATGCTTGAGCAAGTAGGCTGGGGCGTTCAAGCCATCAAAGCAGCTTGCAAAATGCAAGCCTGAGGCATTTCTGCCACCATCCAGAGCAGTAACGCCAGTAACGCCATCTTCACGCATCTTGGTCCTGGCAACCGACACCATCTCCTTGCAGAAGCTTTCCAGCTGGAAAGGCGCTTGGGTCGTAGTGGGAGGAGGTTTCTGTTTGCAGGTCTTGGCCTTCTGCGCAGGCTTCTTGTGTGCAGCCGGTTTCTTCTTCACCAGCTGCTTTCCCATGATGGCCACAGCTTCTACTCAGATTGCACAGCTGAAGGCCCCGTTCTAAGGCGCATGAGCCACAAGTTCCAACATCAAGCCACAGTTGTGAGCGCACGGGGGGAGGGTGGCAGTGTGCAAGACCGTGCGTGGCATTTTTGCAGAGAGATCCTGACCAATAGCAACTGACGTGGCATTTCAATTGCATAGAGTGCACAAGACATATCATCGCTCTGAGGTCTGTTCGCTATTGGCCCACACCATACTGGTGAGAATAATCTCTGCATGATAGGGCTTCAGACTTTATTCACGAATTGCAAACTGAAACTTAAACCACGATGATTGCACAGCTGATCGATGCCTCCGAGTCGAAGCCACCGCAATCCTGGCTGGACAAGCTGGGTGGAAACCGAGTCAACCAAAGCTGGCTACTGTAGTCTTGCTAGGTCACATACTAACCCATGTTCTCAGGTTATGCACACGACAGGAAACTGATAATCGGCTTCGCATTCATGATAATGGCCACCGCAGATCTGATGGGGTCGAGCACTTAGGATTTTGGACTTGCTTGGCACTATGGATTCTTACTAATGCCGATATAGAAGTCGGAGGGGTATACCTAACAAAAGACCGCAGCTAGTCGATGAATCGATGAGATTGCAATGATTCACTCTCGGCTCGAAGGTACTACTGACTGGCTGGTATGTACTACCCACAGCTCCGGCTCATCCGGCGCCCCCTGGGAGGCACCGCCAAGATAAGCAAAGATTTGACTATACCTTGTCAAGTCCGCGGCACTAAATCTTAGCCACAATGCTGGCTTCTCCCCCGAGTCCGAGGCAATGGACATGACAAGCACGGACGACAACCGCGTAATTGTTCACCAGTGTGTTGCGGCAGCAACTGCAGTTCGCTCCAAGCCCATCAAAGACCGCGTCAGAGTTATCCCTCTAACCTCGCGAAGCATAAAATGGGCAGGAGGAATCTGAGAGCTGCACATAGCCAGGCAGCAGCAGCTGCTGGCCAGAATCTTGGTGACAGCAATGCAAATTGGTCCATGCATGTGTGCAGCACATCTGTCTGGTGTGATCGGATGCTCATTACATACCCTTCCTGGATTATGTGTCGGTTACGACAAAGTAGGTCTCGATGGCCCCAGCATGATAAAAAAAAAGATATCCAGCCTTGCCAGATTCTTGACCTTCCTCACATCTTGGGGACTGACCTGATTCATTACTTTTTAACGTACACGCGCACACACACACATACATAACCACAAACACACACACACACACACGATCGGGACCTTACATTCTTTCTCAACCGCATCTGTGCAGATCCTATTGCATTTAAGTTCTGACTCCAGGGCACAAGAGTGATAGAGACTAACAGCATTATTTGTGATGGACTGCTTATGTAAGGCAACTCCTCGCAATGCTATTCTACGTGCTAAGATATGATCTAGTCAGCGGACACTCGGCAGCAGCAAAAAAGTGCTCAAAGACCTGCCATCACAGCAACAAGCCACTTTCAATCTGATCTTCATATGTTTAAAAGAATTTATCATTCCCGCATGCCAGAACTGGGCTTTTAACCTCAGCGGATCAGTCAAGCACCGTGCACGAACTTGGAGGGTTCAGCCCCAACCTATCCCTCCAAAGCACGGTTGCATTTCTGGCCCTGACGCTCCTGATTATTATTATACTGGCGCTGCAAGCAAGCGAACTGCGACTAAATCTTTGTGAGCTAGGACCGATGCTAATCAGAGTCAATTGCGATCGCCAAGAGCCAAGCCGTGGCAGCACGACCGGCACGACCCGTCTTCGACCTGAAATGGACTTTCTGGTGCAGAGGAATTCAATAACAATGTTCGGGCAAGGTCCCGGCCCCTAGACTTTAGGCCATAGGGGTTTCCGACTCTTGCACTGGTCAGGCATTAGTTGAACAGGCATTACAAACTTCACTACTACCAAAGGGAACTGCTGGCAAAGGGTTCACGAGTATCCGGAAAAAGACCTACATGGATAGACACGGAAATAGACATGCACCAAAGACCGGCAAATCGAAATGCAATCTCAAGCCGAAGTATTCCGCTTACGAGTATGGGAAACGAAAGCTGGGAGTTGAACTCCACGAGCGGCAGGAACCTGGGAGCTGTGCAGAAGTGCATCTGACGGCAAAATGCACAGCATTGGATAGCAGCACCACGTGAGCCATGCATGGAACCATGAACTATTCAGGTTGGCACTGGCGCAGCTTCCCAGCTCGATATTTTCTTTTAGCCAAAGCCTTCAAGCTTGAAGGGTCCGAACAACGCCAAAGCGGCAGCGTTCTCATCGCTGTCATGCCCGACCAATATCACGAAACGCACACTGGTGTGGCCACGACTCCACGTTGGAAAAAGTTGCTGGCGAAATGACAAATTCCCCCTTACGCTCTGGCCGGGCACAGCATTAAAAAGCGGCCTTAAGAGGCAACACAGTAGCCGATTCAGAGGCTGCTGTCTCACTCAACGCTCGAATTTGAACACTCATCGCCATGGGCATCGGCCTCCTCCGGAGTTTCGGCGGCATTGGAAACACCTGCAAGGGCGGCCTGCTCAGTCTCAGAGAGCCGAGAGATGAGATTGGTCTTCTTTCTTTCCAAACCCACCACAACGCCTAAGTTCGCGGTCACGAGCAGCTAACAATCTTGGGTCAAGGCAGCTTGCAAGAACATTCATTCTTAGACCGAGGCACTCCTAGCATAGGCAATCTCACGCTCAAGATCCTGGATCTGAAGTCGACAGGTCTTCGCAGCAATGCACTTGATCCAGTTGCTCAGGCTGCTCTCCATATCCTTCACAAACTCGATTGTTCCAACCAGTTTGTTGGCTCGGTCCCAGGTAGTGTTCACTGGCATTTTGTAGAAGTCGGACATGGGCGACTGCGTGTGCATGAGATCTGCTGGCACGCGCTCAACATTGCCGTAGTTCATCAAGGGAACACGGAGCCGCCTGCCACACGATACCCAAAACCCCCAAAGAGTCGTGATGCCGGGGCTCGCGAAGTACACGGTCCAGGCAGCCTGCTCTTGCTGCTGGTCCCCCTCGGCCAACGTCTTCTTGCCAGTGAGGTTTTTGACGATGCATTGCTTGACCTTGAAGTTCTCGTTCTCGTCCGACAGCACGTAAAAGTTCCACAC